GTAAGAAATGTAAACGTTTGGAATTTAAATTGACATATTTCTATACCTCTGAAAACGAATTGCCATAGCTCATTACTTGAAGTATAATTTCTGTATTTATAGTATTTTCTACAGTCTTGATGGAACATAATTAAAATGTTTGCTTTATAATGTTTACTATGATGAATTACATGTGTCAATATTCATATATGCTAAACTAAATGTAGAACAACATATGAATGGACAGTAGGTACTTGCTGAATTGTCAGTTGAACATCAGCAGTAACGTTCTGTAAATGTTTTTGCTTTTTTCAGCATCCACACTTCTCCGGCGTTTTACTACCCCTAACAATGTAACGCTTCTGACTCCATTTTAGCTTGTATGGAGACGATGACACCCAAATTGCTCCCGATACAATTTTATCACCTCACCACGTGTCCCTCCCTGATTCATCACGCCTGTATTACATGACACTTTTCAGGAAGAACACAAACACCCTCAGCCTTAGATTACCATGTGACTACCATTTGTTAATTCAACATGATGATGAATTACAGGCATTGCTGACCTTGTTGTCTTTGCTAGCAGCTGTTGTGCAGTTAAATTCATTTTATAACGCTAGAAGGCCATTGTATGTACCTACAAGCAAATGTAGTGACATCAATAGTGCCATATAATTCAGGGCAAATTGTATTCAATGTATAGAAGTTATGTAATATAACTTTAACAACTATATTTTTATTTTATTTTTATTTATCCTTTATTTATCCAGGAATGTCCCATTGAGATACAAGATCTCTTCTTCCAGGGAGTCCTGACTATAATAACTTACAATACACTTTGTAGGTGTGATATGTGGTGTGCAGTTAGATTTGTCAGAGAGGCTGCAGTGAGGTATTGCTCTGAATACACTCATGACAGAGCGGTTATAGTTTTCCTCACTGAATTTATCACATGACTGTTATTTTACCTTTTGATGTAACTGCAATGGAGCGACGTGACAAAAAGTCTTTGCAAAGCTGAATTTTCCGACATAGCAGGCGACCATTTCCATTTTGCTGGTAATACGTGAGTCTGTCATTCAGATCACAGGAGAGAGGCAACAGTTTAATGAGATTTAAATCCCAATAACCCCTGTGCTGAGTAGAAATGCTCTAATCCCATCTTCTAATCACAACCACCGAGCACTTCCTATTCCTCTTTCTGAGGTCAAAACATGGGAATTCAAATGATTTGATGTAAAACCTAAGAAGCACGGAGACAGATGTGTCATCGAAATAACACTATAATTCAAAAATGACAAGAACCACACCCTCAGAAGTGCTCTATGCAGAAGTGACAAATGCTATTCCTCAATCTCCTACATACTGCCAAGTAATATTATTCGTTAACTTCAATGACCCTGGTGTGCTGAGTATCAGCTGGCATGAGCTAACCCTGTGTCTGCGAGGTTAGTAGTTAAAATACTCAGGCAGACGGGGAACATGGGGCCAGGTTTAAATGAAAGAGACCTCCTTTGAGTATTCTGTCTCTGAACTGCTCTTAACACACACTTAGCACACTTAACCTGAGCTGTCCCGGCAGAACAGCCAGTAGTGCAGGGCTGTGTCCAAATTGGGAAACTTCCAGCTGTGAATGTGTGTAACTGTATGAATGTAGCAGGGTGGTGCTGAAAGAAGCAGCATGCATGCTCAGCAAAAACCTTCCCTGGACAAATGTTCCTGCAGTGTGTTTTATACTGTGGGACGCTCCTCCTAATCAGTGCAGTCCATATCAGATTTCACAGTGGGAAAGCGTGACTCAGTGTAAGAGCTGGCTTGAGTCCTACAGCATATTTTCCAGACTCACAAATGTGCCTCTGTCCGGAGCTGGTATGATACATTATAATGGACAAGCTGCTGCATCATACAGGACTATTGATTTAATAGTATGTAGCTTATCTGCAATGTTGATGATAATGCAAACGTGACATAGAGAAGGAATTAGGGGCCACTATTCACAAAAAACAATACATTATACTTGCAGTAGCCTACATATTGCAATTCATAGCTTTCTTTGCATCATGTCTGGTATTTTACAAAATATTTAGAAGACATTTGATCAAAAATCCAACAAGAAGCAATCTTTAATTAAGCTGCTGCTAGCCTTACATTTAAATGAGAGAAAACTAGAATAAATATTTCATTTTCATTTTTTCACAAAGGCAGCGATAACACATCAACAAAGTTGGCAGCAGGGGCAGGCTACATCGTGTGGGGAACTTACATAAGACAGAAAAAGCACTTCCTTAGGTCAGACCCAGCCACCTTCTCAGATGCTTTTCTTTTTCTTTGCATAAAGATCACATCATCTCTCAGATTAGACGGTTCACAGCCACCTAGCGAGTCTTTAGAAGGCTGTGCAGCTGTGCGCAAGGAGGCCGTCCATTAAGAGTTAATGAATTCACTTTCACAAAAGGACCTTAAAGCCACAGTTCTCAGTGCTGTGTCTCGGTGGTAAAAATAGAAACGAGGCAGAATGGACGGATGCTATTTACAGTCCTCTAAATATCTGTCGCAGAGACTAGCCACCTATAGTAGGCCTGCTTCTCACATGAGGAAATAATGACATGAATTCCCTCTGCTTCTCAGATACAGTGATTATGCACTTATAATTATTATACTCCCACATGCTACTGCCTGAACTCTGTATTACCACAGGAACATCTAGGATTGCATAAGAAGCCATGCACCTATTAACCTCATACTGAAATATGGGAAAGAAATGAAATGGCTTTGCGATGCATGGGATGTGAGCAAATATCAGAATATTACCAACGCTGACATGTCCGACATGTCGCTTATTACAAATGTGATCAAACCTGAGAGGCCTATTTACTGAAAAGGAAATCTGCAGATAAGCTAAGACATTAGGAATTCTATATTAAACAGATAAAGCGCCCACATGTTTGGTGACAGTGTGGCACCAGTCTGTCTCCAACTGAACTCCAGGTGTGTGTGTGTGTGTGTGTGTGTGTGTGTGTGTGTGTGTGTGTGTGTGTGTGTGTGTGTGTGTGTGTGTTCCTTTGTCGTTAACTGGGCCTCAGTGAGTGGGCACTAACACTGGGCAGGGACCACAGGAAGTGTTTGGAATGCCCTTGCTTGAACTTTATCAAACAATGGAGGGCTTATTTGGTATTTAATTTTCCAGATTGCAAGACCAGAGAACATCTCGCTGTGCATGCACACACTTCAAGCACCAGAGAGAAATTAAAAAGAAAAGAAAGGAATTCAGGGGATAATATTCTGTTATATAACTGCTGTGGTGTTTTAGTGGGTTCCCAAGAGGTAGCTAGATTTGCATATTGTTTGTCAAGTATCAAATCAAGTTTTATTTATATAGCACTTTTTTTTTTTTAAATTGGTCGAGCCAAAGTGCTGTACATATAATAAAAATACCCTATACAGTAAAGACACTTTACAGCAAATACAACAGCACAGTTTGTGCAGAATATCAGTATGAGAAAACGATTTTTGCACAGAAATACATAGTACAACAAATAGTGCAAACTCTTAAAATGTATAGTGCTAAGTTTCGTTTGTATCGACAGAAATCATTCACATTTTTGCTAAATAGATCCAAAACGACTACAGCTTTGTGAGGTTTTACACCACCTTCTCCTAAGGATGACTTTCTTATTAAGTCTTGCATAGTGGGTGTCCGATTATCCGACAGAAAAGTTGAGGTTGAGATTAAGCTCTAACATTTGAAGTATGCGGATAAATCCCTGCCTTGTTTTTCTCCGAAAGACGATTAGATCATGTCATTGATATTGATTTATGAACGCAGATGGCCTGACACGTGGGAAGCTTCCTACAAATGATATGAATACAGGCAGCGATTGTTCGATTTGTATATTAAAGCATCAACATCTTCACAATCACATGAGAGTTGCTCAGAGATCGAAAAACCGAACCCCAGAAAGATTGAAAAGATAACACTTTTATCTCATGCATTTTATCTGTTGATTTGTGTGGCCCCCTGGGTGATGTGATTCAACATAATTTGAAGTAAGGACATGCTGTGTCAGAGGAGGGCAGCCTGAAACACCCAACAGCATGCTACTGACATTTACTTAAACCAAATCATGTCAGGTTTAGTATGAATAATGCACAGTGAACTTTAGAAATCAAAGTCACAACTGAAAATCCTATGTTAACAAATCCCATATTCCCTTTGAAAATTGAGAATAGAGAAAACAACTAGTGCTGCATTATAATCACTAAAAGTAAATAGGGGATGTATCTGTGCATGCATCTACTGTAGTTGTGCAATGATTAGACTCTGAACCAGTAAGGCAAGGGAGAAAGATCCATGTGAGGTCGTGTGACAGAACATGTATTATTATTATAGTGGACTAGTTTTGTCAGTCAAGTGTCAAAAAACATGCCTATAGTCCCAAAAACTGTGATCACAATGGGCCTGGTATTTACAGCAGACCTATTTCCACACACTGGGCGAGTCTTAATGCTGTGTTGGGTGTAGATAATATATGACTGGATCAGCATCCGTAGCAGGTTAGTCTTGCTTGACACACTCTACCCAACCCCCTTTAACTAAACACACCGCACACTGACATGCAGCCTAAGGCTTCCCAGAGGCCACTACTAATTGTAAATATTCAGAAATATTTCTATGCAGGTGCAAACATCACTTTTTCCCCAGCTATAGTCTATTTTAAGTCACATTTGACAGCATATTCCTCCCACAGACACAGTTGACAGGTAATAACCTTGCACAAAAATCACACACACGTTAGTTTCCTCCTGGTGTATTCGTTAAGAGTTCCGTTTTGTGTTCATATATTCTATCACATTTGCTGGCGTCTTACTCTGGCCTTGTTTTGTCGAGATGCGTGAAACTACAGTAGTAGCTTTAACGCAGTCTTTAAATTTTCGCTCGGGCGCCCTCGCACAAGTCAAGTCACTTTCCCTCAACGCGATGTTTACAATAACACAAGGGTCACATCTGCTTTTCTTACCGTTTTGAGCCGAGATGAGAGGCAGCATCAAGTTCCCCAAAAGGACCAGCGCCAGCATCACTGCGTTAGGATGCATTGCTGGGGTTCGAAGAGAGGACCAGGGTCTCGGTCGGACGAATGTGGGAGGAGAGATCGTGTATTAATCACAAGATCTAGAGAGATGGGCCCTGCATAGCACCGGGTTCTTTTAAAAAAAATTGTCAGCGGTGGATAATTTTACAAAATGTGTAAAACGCCTCCCTTCTTCAAAGACTTTCTGAGGACAGCGATGGGTGAAAAGGTCCGGGACGAGGCCAGCGGCTCAGGGATGCCGATGTGCGGCCATAGGCGGTGAAGAAGCCTCGTCGGATTGCGGAGGAGAGAGGTCTCTGGATGTCAGGGAGATTGTCCACAGTGTAGTTCTGTAGATTCAAAGATGCGCAGACCGATGCGCATTTGCGCACTCGCGGTCACGGTTCGGTGGTTACAAATAAAAGTATAGCGCACAAATTATTCCCCACGAGAAGAGATGTAGCCGAAACATAAGTGTGTGTTCCAATACAAAAAAAAAGAGGAACAGATGCTGGCAGGACTCAGCAACGACGAGCTGCGCGTGCCCTATGCGCGCATGACCGTGGATAAATACACACATGCACACACACATATAGCACGCATTCAATTGATGGTGTTTGTGAACTCATATTATCTGCCTTCATTTCCTGGTCAACTTTAATTGTTATTTAACGAGATGGTTTAAAAATGTCCCGTTACAGCAGGTTGTTTCTGCTCATACAGTATTTAGGCTACTGAAACTGGTCGACAGTAATAGCCCTATGATTCCCTTACTATTTCCAACATCTCTTGCAATATTAATGTACCCATAAAACTGTCAGCTCGTTTACACACAGTCAAGTCGGATTTGTCACAAACCATGCAGCACAAATGCCTGTAGGTTAAATTTCTTTAGTCAATATTGGAGTCGTTTTTATCAAAAACTGGCCCTGGTTATGCAAACAAACTGAAGGCAATCAGTTTTCAGCAGTCCCATCATTCCAAGCCTAAATACTTTCTCTTGTCAGGTTTTAATGTGAGGAGATTATGGTGATGCTCTTGAGCTCACTGAGGTCATTTATAAATTATGTCATCACATCGGTGGCCTGGGTGTTCTCAAGCTGTATGTACCACATCCCCCTTGAAAGTTCAACATGGCCTCCTGTAATCCTCTCTGTCTTTAATCTGTGCTGCAGCGTGGGTGACCTCATGTGGCCATGTGGGGTGGCATCACAGTCAGCATGTATTCACTTTGTAATGCCAATAGGCTACTAAGACATACAACGAAAACACCTGAGGACTTTAATATATTATAACCAGTCTTTTTAATTAGTTGATTTTTTAAAAATACTCTATTTATTTAATTGCAACACTTCCTTCTTGTGTTAGGTTTGAGTAAAAAAGTGTGCCTGTAACTTGATTATTCAATGTAAAGTCTTACCCTGTGATAAATACCTACATGTCCATGCAGGTTTTTTGGCCAGACTGTTTGCAGAGGGACAGTCTGTGCTCAACTGCAGAACAAACTTCCCTCCACTTTACAGCCCTCCCTCCAGTTTGTCCATGAGAGACCACATTTCAAATGTAACCCCACCTGAAACCTCGCACAGACCAATCAGCTAGAGAAATGTCAGAGCCGTCGGCACACCCTCCTTTGTTCGAAACCAATCAGAGTGGAAGTGTGGCATTTGGCCTGAGGGGAAAACTTACCCCTGGATGAGTTAATTACGCATCACTTAGCTGTTGCCAATGTGTTCACAACGGTGGACCCTCTTTTGGGCTTTTTGCAGCGGTTGTCTTCATTTCTCGGTCAATCTAGTATGGAAAGTAGACAACAATGGCTTACCAGGCTGAAAAATGAACTTAGCAACAGTCCTCTGGTATCAAATGTGGCTTTTGGCTTCATCCTCATGGGACTAGAGAAGTTGGTGGAGCTGGAGTTTGAGTGTCCTTGCAACCCTACGTGGAACGGAGTTTTTTCATCAGCCTTCTTCATCATTCCTGCTGTCATGGCCTTCACATTGATGCTGATCATTCAAGGATGCAGATGTGATACGTGGTGCAGGAAAAATGTTTCCCTCTCCAGCTTCGTTCCTGCTATCGTGTGGCTGATTTTGTTGTTCCTCGATGGCCAATACTTTGCTTGTGCTATGACAGACTGGGAGGGTAGGTTTGTAATAGTTGACAAAGCAGCTCCGCAGAAGTGGTGTGAGCCAATTAACGAAGGAGATGTTACCCCACAAGAACTAATGCTCCGATCACAGCAGCTGTTTGTTTTTTCTCAGGTCAGTTGAATATCTTCTAGTTTACAGAGGAGTGTGTGGATGAGTGGAAACACCTCCCCCGAGTATACACTGTAGATAATATGCCATTAGCCTTTGAAACTAATCATAGTATACACTTTGTTAATCAAAAGTATGCATTTGCTGTGGATGTTAACTAAACAAACTCTTTTGTACCCCAGGTTATAGGCATAATCCTCCTCATTTTCATCTGTGCGGGTCTTGTAGTGTATGTCATCAGAGAAAGCTGCCACCAGGAGGAGGAGATGCAGGATGCAGATGTAGCCGAGCTCACGGTGCTCAGGATGAGCTCTCTACGGACCAGGACATCCTGAGAGGACTGACACCGCCCAACACACCCACCCTGCTGGCATGGACACTTTGTAAATACCCTGAACAGACTTTACTTTTCACAACTGTTGTCAATAAGTGATGTTTGAAAGTATTTTCCCTCTATACAACCTGGACACATTTATTATCAACGGACATATTACCACTGTTCCTCTCATACTGCAGTAGTTTTAATCTATATCTAAACGCATATTTTGATATTGTGGGAAATGTGCTTATTTTCTTTTTGAGTTAGATGAGACGACAGATGTTTGTCCATTTATAATACATCTACAGTCTTTTGCCCGTTTAGTAACTTATAGGGGGGCCCTACACAGCCCCAAGGTAACACATTGCTTGCCAGACGAAACAACAATGTACTGTGTTATCGGGGGGTTATGTTACTCATGCTACGGACCATTACTTGTGTTGGAGGAGTTGAAAGCCAAACAGTGGAGAATCCGGGAAATAACTGTAAGATATAGTCGAGGACATAGCCTCCCATAAAATTGTGAATTATGTCTTTCACCCTTCTTTCTGCTGGCTGCTGACTCCAGCCTTATATTTACCGGACAAACAGAGAAGTATCGATCTTCCTCTAACTCCCAGCAAAAAGTAAATACGCATGTTTCACAAAATGTCAAACTATTCCTTTAAAGTGGTATTTCACTTTGGTGCATTTTGTGTGGTTACTGGCCTTGAATTCAAAGCCAGCAGATAAGAGAAATGCTTCTCTCTTACGTATCACTTTATACATTGACAAAAGCCTCTCTTTTTTATTTTACGTTTCGTGTGCCTTTTAAATTATCTAAATGGACCCAAATGGAATCCACAAGGCATTTAATATGGATTAGTTGTATATGTGTTGGCCAAAGATTAAAATGTTAATTCAAGGTGACATTTCACTTCACTATGTGGTCAGACCCCGTCATGTGATATCCTAAAACAGATTAAACTGATCTTCCTGTCTGACAGCTAAAGATTTAAAAACATGTACTTGATGATCTGTATCATAGCTGCAACCAGCCAATGTATGCATGTCGAACCAAATTGTGTACCACTATTTGCAGTATGTTTTTTTATTGTTTTGTAATAAAAGAATGTATTTATTTAAGAAAAAACCCTCAGGGATTTGAACAGTGGTGAGTCAGTCAGTTTCCACAATACAAGTGCATTTCACAAATACTACTACACTGTGGAACAGAACAGAATATTATCTTTTATTCAAAGCAATGCATGGTAACATTTAGAGTATCCTTTTAAGTTGAAGCTTATATTGCTTGCCAGACACTCTATGCCTTACACAAATTAAACAAGCGCTATATACAAAAAAGAGCAAAAATATCCAGTGTAACACGTGCTAGAAACAGCATGAAATCTACAGAGAAATACATCGACAGGCTTCCTGCCTTATGAAAGCCTTTCTCTAGACGAGACTGTGGTTTGATGGAGTTATTGGCAGATCTCAACCGCCTAGAGATGTGTATGTCTGCCTTAACCGACACATACAGCAGTACTGTAGCTCTGACTTGTATTGTTGTTATTGCCCAAGTGCAAGTTAAGCCAATTAAGCGTGGAAATCGGGAGAGACCCTGCATGTTCATCCTGTGGAAGGGGTTTATTCACGACTTCCTGTTTGGCCTTGAGGAAGTTGTTGTATTTATCCTCTCCCCTCCCCACACAACAGGGCGTCATATTCATCACCAACAAATCAAGGCAGGGACTCTTTAAGTATTTTCCTAAACTACTTTCTTACATGAGCATAAGTTAATGTTCGTGTCGAGAGACCTATTACCCGTGTGACTTTCAGAGGTCATTTGGCAAATGTGCTTTTTTGTAACGTAGATTTCACTTTCAAAAGTCTCCAGAGGCAGTTCAACATTAAATTATTAAGGGACAGCTTTAGCGAGAATAGGACATTGAGATTTAAACATCTACTAAAGTGGTTCCAGGTCCAAAATACACAAATCACAATCAATGTGCAGCTATCGTTTGGCAAAGACGGCTTACAGCTTTCTCATAAAACCAGTTGTTCCTTTGTTACATAAAGGCAAGGACATCTCCACATCTCCACCCCGTAGGTAAAGATTAGCTAGCGTACTGTCCTTTACACTGATAATGACATTGACTTTAAACATGTGGTAACCCATCTGAATGCTTTGTGTAATGCTATAGTAAACATCTCCTCTTCATTACCAAGTATCAAGTGTTTCTCTTACGTCAAGTTAAGATAAAGCTTTCGGTAATGGCAATGATAATGATATTGGAATGAAGGGTACATTAGGAATTGAACTGATTCGTTTATTCATCACAATTGTGTTTTTAGCAATATCAAAAGTCAAATGTAGGGTCTTTAATAGTGTACATGTCACCCCAGCCAAAAGTTAGGAGAAATCCTGTAGAAAATAGCCATTCAAAATAACTTATTTTCAATATGTTGTTTACATCCATTTGAAATAAAAAAATCATTCTTAACACAGAACATCCGACTAAAATGAAAGAGGTTCCTCATCAACACTGGAATGAATGTAACCCAATGTGGTATGAAGCAAGATTTAGCTATCAAAACAAATATTGTGCAGGTAACAACATATTGAGGGTTCGTTTAAATAAAGGATTTAAGCATAAGGAAAATCTTAAGCGTAATGTTGCAGAATGGTTTAATGATTTAATACGAAAAGCCTGGTGGTGCTTAGAGACAGCAAGCCAGAGCATTGTGAGTTAATTAAAAAAGATAAACTCATGAACAGTATCCACATAGTTTGAAAACATTTCTCCTAAAACGTTAAAGTTTTTTTTTCGAAATAATGAAATGCTTAATGTTATGACATGACAGTTTCTAAACAATAATGGGAGCATTTTGGTGAAATCTAAAGATAAACAGCCCTCAACATTCAGCACGGGTTCTTCTTTGCTGATACAATAAAGGTGTATAAAGCACTGGTTTATAAATGTGTGTTAGCTTTTCTTGAATTAGAACAGAAATGTTATTCTTTTGTTATGGTTACATAACAGTAAAAATGGCTCGGAAAACATTATTTGATTTGTTCAGATTTCATGTTTGCTACCTTAATTTTTTTTCAAAAAGAGCATCACATTTACAGAGTGGTATAAAAACAAGGGCAGTCTACGTCTCTATTTTCATATGTAGTATTCTCCAAAATACGCACAATGTCTTTCGAGTGAATGTTCAGTCCCGTTTCACTTTAGATTTACACATTTTAGTGCACAAACACCTGATGACAAAGAATGAAGTGAACAGCACGAGCAGCACAGCTCCAGCCAGGAACAAAACCACATCTACAGAGTGGTAGGAATACCAGGGCAGTCTGTAGGACTCTGTTCTCAGGTGAGCTGCCCCTTTGTGTCTCATGACAAACTCTATCCAGAAGAGGGCGGTGTCCAGCGGCTTCATCGGCTGATCTCTGTGCAGCCTGGAGAGTCTCTGCATGTTCAACCTGTAGGAGGGCTCATTCAGGACTTCCTGGATGGCATCCTGAAATGTTTTGCTGTCCAATTCGGAAACGACCATAACCTTTGCAACGCCTTTCGCTCTCAGTCTGGAGAGGTTGTCGGCTTGATCAAACACAATTGGAATGCCTACAATAGGGAACGCCATGATATATGGGCCTTCATATATGCCATTGGTTCCTCCATGACTGACAAATAGTTTCATATTTGGATGTCCTAAAAGGTCATTCTGAGGCATCCAGTCTACTAGCAGAGTGTTGTTGCCCAGAGTCGCTGGTCTCTCACCTTTATATCTCCAGATGACTTTCTGGGGTAATTTAGCAAACGCTGCAGCGATCTCATCAGCGAGGTCGTGCGGGAAGGCTCTCCAATCAAAGTCCCCAGAGACATGATGAGACCCCATGCTCTCCAGAAACTCTGCACAAACTCCTCCAGGTGTTCAGGGAGAGGTTTTGCTGGTTGGCACTGGAACCCTCCAATATAGACAACATTAGGCATGTGTGGACGAGGGAACTCAAACACCAAAGTCCACTCTCATCAGCCACAGGTCTGCCAGCTTGAAATAGAGAGAAGTAATCCACATCGGGGCCAAAGTAGCGGCTCTTGCCAATGCAGAATAATGCGGCCCAACTACCCTGTTTGTACAAATGGCATCCTCATGGTGTAAAAGACAATGTTTTTGACCCTCTCAAGAAAGTCATTTTATCTGATAATTCTGACGGTGGAAGGGGAACGTATGAAAGCGGGGAGGGTGCGATTGCAAAATGGGCTTCACCATGAACAGTCCATCGAGCATTAAAGACTAGCGGTAATCTGAGATAGTGAGCCAGCATTACTCCTCCTCCGTTTGCAGGGTCAGTCAAAACCACATCGTACTTGGCGTCTTGAATGGAATTCATTACGTCTTTATTGTCAAATAGGTGAATGACCATTTCACAGATTTTCTTGTGTAGTTCAAAGAACTTGTCTTTTAACTCCATGTCTAAGGCAAAACGTCTCCATGCAGATCCCTTGCTTCGTTTAATTCTAATGACTTCAGAGACAAATAGGCGGAAAAAATCTTCATCCGCACCACCGTCCATATCCACTGTGACAGTATTGTAATTTGGAGACGTATCACTGATGTACCAGCTGTCTGCAGGCCGGATGACAGTCACAGTGTGTCCTCTTGAGTGCAGCTCCTCAACAAGGACCCTCATGTTCACCCAGTGGCTGCCGTCATGCGGAAACACCAGGACTTTCCCACAATGGGCAGCAGGAATAATGACAGCCAAAAGAGAGATGACGGAAGCCAAGGACAAAAACATCTTCAAATCTTCTCAAACAGTGCACTCTGAAAGTAGTACAGAAAGAAAAGTGGTTACTCAAGTTGTCCAGGAAATGTGTGCACAAAGACAGATGATATACAAGGATGCTCACAATAGAGAGCTACAATGAGGTTCCTTTCAATGGTCTTTCTTTTGTGTGGGAAAAATTCCTTATGACAGCCCTCATGTGGATATGGCACATGGAGCCTCTGTCAGGAAATTAGAGTGCTGTACGCTGCCAAGAGCCTCACGTGCGTCTCCCTGAGCAGAAACTGTGGAACAGTCTGCATAAAGGAATGGATATGAATCGGCGTCTATCTAATACACCATATAATCTCTGTGCAACACATCTCATGCACCTATTTCCTTATGATCAAATGTCTATTCTTTTAACAATAGACTTGATTCAATAACATTAGCTAGAAAAACAATATTTCCCTTTCAGTACGGAACAACTGCTACAACCCTCTATGTACAAAGGTCACTTACTCTGCTCGCATAAACCGCTAACAATCTTTAAATGTGAAGATCCTTTCAGGCACTCATGTAAACAAAGTCTCCTGACAGATAAGATCCAAACACACAGTTTGAGGACAAACCAGTGTGGCTATAAAACACTTCCTGCTTCATTCTGTCCCGCCCACATGATAGTTGCTGCATAGACTCTTGTCCCTTACCCGGGGAATTTAGTCATCATGGTGCAATAATCCAGAGCTGTGGTGCAGTCAACAGGAAAATGTTACCGTGTTATTCATATTCATCTAACACATATGTTGTCTACTTCATACAAGTACCTTTAACACAGGCAGTGCCTCATATTAGTTTTAAGATGCAGTGGGATCTTAAATGTAACAACTCAGGATATCAATAAGATACAAAAAAATCTAAAAAAAATCTGTTTATTCATGCTGAAATATGTGTGCACCTAAATAACATTTGATTTTATATTTGTAGCCATACAGTATAATTTAAATGTTGTGCAAAAAACATGTATACAGACACCTCACTATGCAGTGAGTGTCAGTTCAATGCTAATAATTTAGATTGTAAAATGAGGAAACTGTATCATCATAAACATACTGAATGCATTATACAGTATATCAAAACTACTTTGGCACATTTCATTATATACATCATCTAATTTGTATAATCCTCAAATGTAAGGACATCGAAAGAGTAATCATTTTGAAGTTTATCTCTCAAAAAGCCAGGCAAAAACTTAACGTGTTACCTTTCATCTGTTTGAGCAAGAAGCGAAAGACATGCTTTGCTCAACTGCTGCTTCATATTGTTGAGGCAGGACTGTGCATGCCTGTATTCAAACTTGTCAGACTGAGAAACACTTCCTGCTTTGCTTTGCTTTGCCTCACCCATAACAACAGTTCTGTTAAACCAAACAACATTAAGTGATCGTCTCTTAAAGGGATATTCGCTCAAACTACAAGATATTGTTACCAAGCTCTTAAACTAATGAACATGAATAGAGCTCACGCTGAATACTCCGTTTAGGTTAAAAGGATAACACAAAACACTTTGACCGAACATGACTTCATCTTGAGTAATAAAAGCCATAGTATCCACATAGATCTGTGCACAGCCTTCAGGTAGAGACTCCACCTCTTGGGAAACATGATAACTCAAGGAAGTTAAACATAGTATAATGAAAAACAGGTAGGACAAAGTGTAGTACTTGCCCTCCAAAAAGGCCATTACTGTGAGAGGGATTTATGCTTTCAATAAATAACCAGTTTGAAGATAAACAAACACAGGTTCTTCACAGCTCACCATTGTCACATCATTGCTACTCTAATGTTACACAAAAGGTACTTACCCCGAAACAAAGGCAATGGCTTATTATGGCAGGAGCACATTAGAAAAACTGTTGTCACATGACACAAAGCAGAAACACCTGAAGCTGATTGAAATGTCCTTCTCATGTGCATCTACATCAGTAGTGTCAAATATAGATGCTCCGCCTGGTGGTTGGAGGTTTAATAAGGTCCCACAACACAGAGCCAACACGAGGAAATGAATTACTCTAAATACATATATTATTTTCTCCAGGATAAATCAGACCTGAACAATCAAATCCTGTGAATCTCTTTTACTGACATGTTAATGTTTATAGAGCTTGTCAGGGACCAAGCAGTAAGGCAACAGGACACAGGAGTGGTTTAAATAAACTAGGGTTTTTATTTAAACCAAAAGTCCACAAGAACATCATATAATAACTAGGCCTATAAAAGAGGTCAACAGAAAATACCTCAAAGGCACATAACAGGTGTTAACTCAACAAAACTGACCCCCCTACAATGAAAAACCAAGGAACCTATATAGGGGCTCGGCCAAACCAAGTTGAACCCAAGGGATAATTAATAGTCACATCATACGCAAAGGACACTGACAAAACCCAAATCCCCCCTTTGACATGGAAGCAGGTGGTTTGTCCCAATCTGTCCCAATTGGCTCCTTGCAGTATTTATGAGCCCTCAGCGCTCGGCCACGCCCTTTGCTGAACCAGGAAGTAACCTCCCCCAATGGACATGGTAACTCAAGAGACAAAGAATGTAATTAATACAAACAAATACTTGTGTATTAGCTGTGCTAAAATGTTTGAAGTAATGTCAGATTACAATCAAATAAAGAGTTTACCATCTAGAGCAAATGTGTGGTGTTAATTGGCATGTTTTATTGTAGCTGCACTGAAGCAAAACTACTGAAGATGAGGATGCAGTGTAGTTGGTTTACCCTGTGTGGCTGTGGCCATCACAGAGCTACATATAGCTACTCCTGAAAATGCCCTTTGACAAAGGTTAGATCATAAATAACCGGACTTTGATCAGTGAAATGTATCTCATTTGACATGTATTTCAAGTATTTTATTCATAGTGTTAGTTCTGAAAAAGTTCTCAACTTCTATCATGAAATATGATCAAACTAATTAAAATAACACAACATAATGTCAAAGGTTCCACAAATGGGTTGACAAACAAATCGTATCCGTCTATAATACTAATCCCAAAATCAATTTACGATACTTTATTCTTAATCAATGTGGGCAGTGTGTATCCCTTGAATGCTTACTCACGTTTCACTTTAGATCTACATATTTTAGTGCACAAACACCTGATGAAAAACACAAAAGTGAACAGCACGAGCAGCACAGCTCCAGCCAGGAACAAAACCACATCAACAGAGTGGTAGGAATACCAGGGCAGTCTGTAGGACTCTGTTCTCAGGTGAGCTGCACCTTTGTGTCTCATGACAAACTCTATCCAGAAGAGGGCGGTGTCCAGCGGCTTCATCGGCTGATCTCTGTGCAGCCTGGAGAGTCTCTGCATGTTCAACCTGTAGGAGGGCTCATTCAGGACGTCCTGGATACCTTGATAGAAGATGTCTCCAGTCATGCTAAAAATATCAACAATCTTCCCGGCTCCTCTTACTTCTATTCTATGTAGATTATCAGGCTGATCAAAAATCAATGGAAGTCCTACGATAGGAACTCCGTGATACAAAGCCTCTTGGACTCCATTGGTTCCTCCGTGAGCCACGAATAGTTTTGTCTTGGGATGTCCTAAAAGGTCATTCTGAGGCATCCAGTCTACTAGCAGAGTGTTATTGCCTAGAGTCACTGGTCTCTCACCTATATATCTCCAGATGACTTTCTGGGGTAATTTAGCAAACGCTGCAGCGATCTCATCAGCGAGGTCGTGGGGAAGCTCTCCAATCAAAGTCCCCAGAGACATGATGATGACCCCATGCTCTCCAGAACTCTGCACAAACTCCTCCAGGTGCTCAGGGAGAGGTTTTGCTGGTTTGCACTGGAACCCTCCCATATAGACAACATTAGGCATGGTGGGACGAGGGAACTCAAACACAAAGTCCACTCTCATCAGCCAAATGTCTGCAGCTTGAAATAGAGATAAAAAGTCTGCGTCTGGACCTAAATATTTATCAATCAGGTCAACATAATATGGTAGAACATAGTATGCAATTTGATATTCTGTGAAACCAAAAACGATTACGTTAAGAACTCTTTCAAGAAAGTTCATTTTATCTGAAAGCACAGTCCCTGTCAATGGAACATAAGAGAGAGGAGTGGGTGCGATTGAAAAGTGGCCTTCACCTTGACTTGTCCATCTGACATTGAAAACGAGAGGCAGCTTAAGGTAGTGGGCCAGCAGGACCCCCCCTGGTATAGCAGGGTCAGCAAGGACAAGGTCATATTTGGCATCCTTCAGCGACTGTATCAGATCTTTGTTTTCAAAAAGCTGCTCAAGCATTGTGGCCGTGTTCACATGCAGCGCTGAGGCCATTTGTGCTAGTTGCATTTCCAGTTTGAAACGTGTCCAGGCAGACTTCCCTGCTCTCTGTATTTCCAGCAACTGGACCACGAAGGTTTTTGCAAAGTCTTCACCAAATCCAGAATCTGATTCGAGTGTAATTGAAGTATACAATGGGGATGTTTCCTTGATGTACCAGCTGTCTCTTGATCTCACAACCGTTACTTGGTGGCCCCTTGCATGGAGTTCCTCAATGATGACTTTCATGTTCACCCAGTGGCTCCCGTCCAATGGGAAGACAAGAACTTTACCTCCGTAAATCACAGCTGGGCAGAGCAACAAGAGAGTGATCCAGAGCTGGTTCATTTTTGGTCTAAAGTTGGGAGGAACCATAATTTAATTGTATATATGCATCATTTCATAGTGTTTTTATTAACATTGTATCTACCTTTAAAAGTTGTAATTGTTCACATTATATTACATTAAAGGTTTTTACAATAGAATACTCTGTCACCTGCTGCAGATACTTTGATGATAGAAAATCAAATGCAGGATTAAAAACAAAAATAAAGAAAGTATTTACATTTGAATTGTAATCTAATTGATGCGTTGATGTATTATGCATTATATCCGTTTTCACATTTATATACATTACGATCTAAATAGTGAGTCCTGTACAACAAAGAGAAACTAAACTACAGAGACAACCAGAACATGTACATTGCATGCCAGTTAATGACTTTTGTAAAATCCCTGTATAGTTAAAATGGGAAGCTATCAGACATTTATTATAAAATACAATGCTAAACACATGGACATGTTACCTTTTTTGTGTCCAATGTATACTTTGCAATGTTATCCCTTGCCGGAGAGAAGAGTATGTGCTTCTTCTTACAGGTTCCAAGCAAAGTAGGACTTTGGTACGGCAATGTCATGTCGTAAGCCACACAGGTGATAAGAAAGTGTAATGAAATAGCAGTTACACAACTACATGACTGGAAGACAAAATAACATTAAAACAGGATCATTATAATGCTGTGTTTCCACTGTTGAGTTAAATAAAAGGTTGAGATTGTAAAAACATTAACATGGTTTGTCTTATTACAGTGGATAACAGAATAAATCTACAGCCACATGTTTTAATAATGGATTTGTTATGTGGCTTAAAATGCTCAGGTGAGTCTTGTCTTGTTCTTTGAAAAATCTCACATTTTAAAATAGCTCATCTCTCTGTGAAAGCAGCAAATGGTGGAATTTCACCCCCTGCTGGCTGGTAAAGGTATCAACACATCCTCATTTATATCATTTCCTTATCACATTTATATCAAAAACCCTTTCAGCAGGTCAAGTGAGTTGGATGGAAAATTAAAATGTTCCTGCATTATATTAGACTTAGAATAAACAAAAACTACAAAACAACATCAACAAGTTGTACAACTAATATAGATGAATATAACTCATTCAGCATTTTTAAGTTTAAAACAGTGACAACACGTTGACCTTAGATCACATGTGTTAAACCCAAGGCCCGGGGGCCAAATCAGGTCCGTGGTGGATTTAATTTCGGCCCGCAGGATCATTTCTAATTACTATTCAATCTGGCCCGCCGGTATATTGCACGCACACCTTCACTCAATCCTGACGGTTTCCTCAGCTCAGAGCCTGAGCCCAAACATTGATGAACTTGCACCCAAGATGAGATGCCAAGTATCTGGCTTGAACTAACATCACAGAGCAGCAAACTGAGTTTCAATGGATGTTTCCTTCTGCACTTTGTTTCTTGAGACAACAGGGCATGTTTGGTTTTGTCTTTGAGGGAAATAGTTTTGTTGAAGCTGTTGTTGGCCTGTGGAAACATTTAATCATAAGAAGTGACTCCGGAAAAGCTGCAGATAGAGCCATAAGAAATCAATGCAACTGATTATTTAATGTTTAATGTTGTTTTTATAGACAATCATTTAAGCTTTGTTAGTTCCATGTTTAATATGTTCAATAAGCTCATTTTCATTCAATACGTTTTGCAATAAACATTGAACCAGTCCGGCCCTCGACTAGTACCCATTTTATAATTTTGGCCCACTGTGTATTTGAGTTTGACACCCCTGCCTTAGATGATGTTGAGCTTTGGATCTATAATAAAAGCCAGGCACTGATTTGGCAAACGGACAACCATGTGCATGCAAACACCATGATAAGGAAGTTAATGATTGATTAGATCGTGTCTAGACACATATCCAGGACCTTATCTTTCAGATGGCATATCAGTTTATAAGGCTAAACAAATCCAAAGTCTGTGATTTAATAAGTGCCATTCATCATCCTTAAGGATTTTACTGTATAGATGTATCTTACCTGGGACCTCTTAGACCAGCCAAACACAGAATAAGAAGAAGTCTGGTCACTATAATTCTGTTACTTGGTGAAGAATAAAGACAACAGGCCGCACATCAGAATCATAATACCTTTATTTGCACAGAGGGGACATTTACAAAATATAAATTCAATTAAATATCATTTATAAAGTATCAATATTAATAGACTTGTGCTTTGATCCAATTCAGTCTTTTATATGATTGCTATACTTTGAAAGGACAACCTAAATGTACCTGAGTTATTATACTTACTGAGTGTTAATCATTATTTTCTTCAGTCTACCGTTCATGTTGATAAAAAAAATGTATTCAGTGTGCACAATGTATATCCATTGAATGCTTAATCACGTTTCATTTTGGACCTACACATTTTAGTGCACAAACACCTGATGAAAAACACAAAAGTGAACAGTACGAGCAGCACAACTCCAGCCAGGAACAAAACCACATCTACAGAGTGGTAGGAATACCAGGGCAGTCTGTAGGACTCTGTTCTCAGGTGAGCTGCACCTTTGTGTCTCATGACAAACTCTATCCAGAAGAGGGCGGTGTCCAGCGGCTTCATCGGCTGATCTCTGTGCAGCCTGGAGAGTCTCTGCATGTTCAACCTGTAGGAGGGCTCATTCAGGACTTCCTGGATGGCATCCTGAAAGTTGTTGTCTTTGTCGACTGTTTGAATGGTAAGAAGTTTAGCTGCGCCTCTCTCCTTTAGACGCAGGAGGTTGTCAAATTGGTCGAAAAACAGGGGCAGACCCACAACTGGGACTCCGTGATACAAAGCCTCTTGGACTCCATTGGTTCCTCCGTGAGCCACAAACAGTTTTATCTTGGGATGTCCTAAAAGGTCATTCTGAGGCATCCAGTCTACTATTAAAGTGTTGTTGCCCAGAGTGGCTGGTCTGTCACCTTTATATCTCCAGATGACTTTCTGGGGTAATTTAGCAAAAGTTGCAGCGATCTCATTTGCCATATCAGAGGGAAGTTCACTTACAAAGGTCCCCAGAGACATGATGATGACCCCATGCTCTCCAGAACTCTGCACAAACTCCTCCAGGTGCTCAGGGAGAGGTTTTGCTGGTTTGCACTGGAACCCTCCCATATAGACAACATTAGGCATGGTGGGACGAGGGAACTCAAACACAAAGTCCACTCTCATCAGCCAAATGTCTGCATCAAGCATTAACTGGTTGAAGTCAATATCGGACCCAAGATATTTGTCACACAGTTTCTGGTATACTAGCTTCACCACCACTTGATTTTGTATGAGGTTGATTAGTTGCAATAACACATTTTTAACTCTCTGAAGAAAGGTCATCTGATCAGTGTGTCCAGATCCTGTTATAGGGACATATGATAAAGGTGAAGGAGCAATAGCAAGATGAGCCTCTCCAGCTATTAGCCAACGAACATTATAAACCAAAGGAAGGTTTAAATATTTGGCCAAAATGACGCCATGGCCCCAGCTGGGATCGGTGAGTACCAGGTCAAACTTGCTGTCCTGTAGGATTCTCATTAACTCTTTGTCGTCTAGTATTGCTGATACTAATTCACCCACGGTGGAATGAACATCCACAATCGTGCCTATCATTCCTACGGCCGTGTTGAGAAAACTTGTCAAGGGAATAGCCCCCCTTTCAAATTTGATGTAGTCAAATATGATTTTTGTAATGAACTCCTGATCAAGATTCCTCTCCACTTGAACTGTATAAGTATTGTAATAAGAGGATTTTTCCTTGATGTACCAGCTTTTGTTAGAACGCACAACAGTTATATTGTGCCCCCCGGAGTGCAAAGCCTCTAGTAGAATATCCATGTTGATCCAGTGGCTACCCTCAGCGGGTAAGACCAAGATGTTTCCTCCATGACAGCCTCTGGGAATAAAGACAAGCAGCAGCCAAGCACTGCAGAAATGGATCAACCTCATCTGGAATGAAAACAATGGACAACTAATGAATAAAGGATAAGAACAGCAGAGCTGTAATACTGAACTTTAACTAAACAAAATGTCCATGCTGCAGGAAACATATTTTTTTCATAGCCTACACTTGTTTCTGATTTTCTACCTAACTCCAATATTTTACACTGGAACCTCAATGTTTTTTTTGTTTTTTTAAATGACCATTAAAATACAAATCCCTTTAAATGTACCTTTAAATTGACTTTTTATGGATTATATGACCGATATACCTGAAGTACAGTTAAGTAGCAATGCATCTTATTTGATTCCATTAGAAACAAACGTGAGCAAACACACACACGGGTTAGGTTAGCTTATATCTGCAAGTACTATAACAGAGGGTCATTGAGAAACTGACAGTGAACAATAATGGGAAGCAAATCGTTCTGCACAAAACACACAAGCAAGATAACAATCCTCAGAGGGAATTTGAGCACCACAATTTCCCATTGACTGCTTAGCTTCTGCTATTGTTTAAATACAGTAAAAAGCCAAATATAAAATGTAAACATTTAAAACATGGTGCTTGTTCTTACCGCTGTCTGTAATGTTATTCTACACAGGAAAAAAGCCAGGCTGGGAACTTCTCAATCTGGCACCAGACTGAACCAACCTGAGCGAGTCCAGACGTGTGCACGCAGGACGTGAGCAGTTCTGAGGGGAAGGTACGAATAAAAGGCAAACGGCAAAACCATGTGCATGCAAACACCATGATAAGGAAGTTAATGATTGATTAAATCGTGTCTATAGACACATATTCAGGACCTTATCTTTCAGATGGCATATCAGTTTATAAGGCTAAACAAATCCAAAGTCTGTGATTTAATAAGTGCCATTCATCATCCTTAAGGATTTTATAGATTGCTACATTACATTACATTTCATTTAGCTGACGCTTTTATCCAAAGCGACTTACAATTACCAATCACAGGGACATTCTCCCTGGAGTAACTAAGGACTAAGTGCCTTACTCAAGGGCACACTAGTGGTGGTGTTCCTGGCGGGATTTGAACTCACAACCTTCCGATCTTCAGGCCACCTCACTATCCATTAGACCACCACTATTATAGATCTTACCTGGGACCTCTTAGACCAGCCAAACACAGAATAAGAAGAAGTCTGGTCACTATAATGCTGTTACTTGGTGAAGAATAAAGACAACAGGCCGCACATCAGCATCAGAATACCTTTATTTGCACACAGAGGGGAAGTTTACAAAATATAAATTCAATTAAATATAATTTATAAAGTGTTAATATTAATAGACTTAAGCTTTGATCCAATTCAGTCTTTTAATATGATTGCTATTCTTTGAAAGGACAACCTAAATGTACCCGAGTTATTACACTTACTGAGTGTTAATCATTATTTTCTTCAGTCTACTGTTCATGTTGATACAATTTTTTTATTCAGTGTGCACAATGTATATCCATTGAATGCTTAATCACGTTTCATTTTGGACCTACATATTTTAGTGCACAAACACCTGATGAAAAACACAAAAGTAAACAGCACGAGCAGCACAGCTCCAGCCAGGAACAAAACCACATCTACAGAGTGGTAGGAATACCAGGGCAGTCTGTAGGACTCTGTTCTCAGGTGAGCTGCACCTTTGTGTCTCATGACAAACTCTATCCAGAAGAGGGCGGTGTCCAGCGGCTTCATCGGCTGATCTCTGTGCAGCCTGGAGAGTCTCTGCATGTTCAACCTGTAGGAGGGCTCATTCAGGACTTCCTGGATGGCATCCTGAAAGTTGTTGTCTTTGTCCACGGTTTGAATGGTAAGAAGTTTAGCCGCGCCTCTCTCCTTTAGACGCAGGAGGTTGTCAAATTGGTCGAAAAACAGGGGCAAACCCACAACTGGGACACTGTGATAAATAGCCTCTTGGACTCCATTGGTTCCTCCGTGAGCCACAAACAGTTTTATCTTGGGATGTCCTAAAAGGTCATTCTGAGGCATCCAGTCTACCATTAAAGTGTTGTTGCCCAGAGTGGCTGGTCTGTCACCTTTATATCTCCAGATGACTTTCTGGGGTAATTTAGCAAAAGTTGCAGCGATCTCATTTGCCATATCAGAGGGAAGTTCACTTACAAAGGTCCCCAGAGACATGATGATGACCCCATGGTCTCCAGAACTCTGCACAAACCCCTCCAGGTGCTCAGGGAGAGGTTTTGCTGGTTTGCACTGGAACCCTCCAATATAGACAACATTAGGCATGGTGGGACGAGGGAACTCAAACACAAAGTCCACTCTCATCAGCCAAATGTCTGCATCAAGCATTAACTGGTTGAAGTCAATATCGGACCCAAGATATTTGTCACAGTTTCTGGTATACTAGCTTCACCACCACTTGATTTTGTATGAGGTTGATTAGTTGCATTAAAACATTTTTAACTCTCTGAAGAAAGGTCATCTTATCAGTGTGTCCAGATCCTGTTATAGGGACATATGATAAAGGTGAAGGAGCAATAGCAAGATGAACTTCTCCAGCCATTAGCCAACGAACATTATAAACCAAAGGAAGGTTTAGATATTTTGCCATAATGACCCCATGGCACCCGCAGGGATCGGTGAGTACCAGGTCAAACTTGCTGTCCTGTAGGATTCGCATTAACTCTTTGTTGTCTAACATTGCTGATACTAATTCACCCATCATGGCATGAGAATCCACAAACATGCCTATCATTCCTACGGCCGTGTTGAGAAAACTTGTCAAGGGAATAGCCCCCCTTTCAAATTTCATGGCCTCAGACATGATTTTTTTAACCCACTACTGATCAAGACTCCTCTCCACTTGAACTGTATAAGTATTGTAATAAGAGGATTTTTCCTTGATGTACCAGCTTTTGCTAGAACGCAACGTCGCGGCTAACGTCTCTGCACCGGGCTGTTGTGTAGCCAGGAAAAAACGATCCGCTTCCTCAGCCAAAGCACGGGGCTCCGTGACAGGCGTGTTGGCCAGCGCCGTCTGTACCCGGGGAGGCAAGTGACGCAGGAAAATCTCGGTGAATAAAATCCGGGGATCCTCCCCCCCTAGCAGATTTAGCATTTTCTCCATTAGCTGAGATGGCTTGCTGTCTCCTAGGCCTTGAATGTCAAGTAACTGGTGAGCCCTCTCCTTAGCAGATAAGCTAAATGTCTTAACCAGTTAAGCCCGAAGGTCCCCCCAGTGGACCCCTCCCACCGTTTTTTTTTTCTCACATGTCTCAGGGCTTCTTAACATTTATGAAACTATTAATGTTTCATACCCTTTTAAAGGTAAGAAACTCCGCTAACTGACAATAAGAACAATTGTTAGCTAAAAAAAACACAAGAGTAATACCAAGCCTTTGAATTAGCATTGAGCGAAAAAATGCTAACTAATGCTAACGCTTTTTTACACACAACACACGGTAGAAATGCCCTTATTACTATCTTAACTGCACAAACAAGATATACGATTTAAAGCTGAGACTCCACAGATTCCACACATGTAATGTCATCACTGTCCGACCTCGAATTCCTGGAGCTATCAGCCAGAAAAGAGAAAGTAAACAACATCCGGTTTCAAAAATATTACAATAATTACGTCTTACCTTTTTTGATTTGTGATCAAAAGTTGTGTTCAACGGAATAAAAACGCATCTCAAGGTTAATCCAATGTCTTTGTGTCACGTATAATTTTTTACTGATAATCAATCATCATATTTATGGCAATATACTCGGTATAAAGTATTGCCGTCCAGGCTTGCACTTTCAGATATGCTTCGTTTGCTTCTCTATTACGTCCGCTATGGTAATGTTTACGTAGATTTGGGAACTGCCCATCGATTCTAATGGTTCTGATGGTTAAGAAAAAGGTGTAAATCACACGAATCGACCAATGGGTTCCAGAGATATGGTCCTGCGTAAATTATAAAGAATGGCAGCCAGCTTAAGTACATTACGCAGCCGACTTCATTTATTGTTTACAACGTAACGAAGCAGGAAATGCAGCAGGACCCAGAGCGCACGGAGCACAGAGCGGACAGCAGATAACGGAATTGCAGTTGTATTGCTTATAGATTATCAGAACATTTCAAAGGGGACACAGCCCCATTGGATATTAATCTATGGATTAACTACATCATCGTTTTTATCGTTTTAATGCCATTGAAGACCAGTTTAGACCAGACAACGAGGAAGGTAAGTAATTGTTAGCCTAGCGCATTAGCGCTAGCGCCATTTGTTTTGATGTACGTTTTTGTTGATAACGTCGCGAGTTTGTATCTTTCAGTGTTGGGCTGTTCAGGTGGGCACCGTTAGATTCTGTGTCTCCTTGCGATCATAAACAATGTGTTGGATGTGCAGCTAGGATAAGTAATAAGGGAGCGAGGAGTGATTTTCGGTGCTGTAATAGGTTAGCATTTTTCGCTCGGGGCTAATTCAGAGGCTTTATTTTATTTATTTTTCACAACAGTTGTATTTGGATGGAATGAATACCTATAGTGATAATTCAAAGTAATAAAATGATTTTTACAGTGAAAAAGTTCAAATGGAACCGATGGTTCCCAAATTAGCCAGAGGTGAGTCCGCTTAGACTTTATTTTTCTAAATATCTCTAAAAAGGTCAAATTTCACTTGTTTTGCATCAATCTTGATACAGGGTACTTATTATATGTTATAGTTTGGATTCCTAAAGCTTTTAGTCTACTAACCCATCATGCAAGGGTGGTTTTCACGATAAGTAAAGTTTTTTTTTTAGGTGGACATTAGAATTTACATGTTTTTACTATGTTCCATCTGAATTTACTTTAAAATAAAAACATCTATATTGATTCTGACACTTCTACATCCAACTCACAGATGTAACCTTGCTTTGAGAAAAATAATTATTAATTTACCCCTTTTAGAAGTGAAGATATATCATTTGTTGTGTTAGTGGCATTTTCGAGCCTGAAACCTGAAAAACAGGCTCAGGGCTTAACTGGTTAAGGAGAAGGGCCTTAATCGCCTCATATTTGCCATGATGTGGGGGGGCTGCGATGAATCCCACCAACCTGGACGACGCAGAGCTGCCCAGCGCTGCTACAACATGGTAGTATTTCAGGTCCCCGTCACGGACCTGTCGGCAGGCGAAGTGCGCCTCCACATGTGCGAACCATGCCTCCGCGGCGTGCTCCCAGAATTCCGGCAGCTTTACGAACACATCGCGTTCAGCCATGCTAGTTAATTTCCCGGAAACTTTCTCGGAAAAGTCAGGGTCACCAGTGTAGTGCCGGGAAAAGGGAGTCGGAGGCGGTGTATTAAGAACAGAGTTCTAATCTGTATTAGCCATTAATAACAGAGAGGTTATCACATCAACTGCTCTGCTTGATGAGCTAGCAGGAATGGAAGCTAACGCTACAGGTGTTCCCACTAAAGGGTCCGTGTGGCAACACAATACGAGAGGTGAATTATGTCCAATAACGTGTCACCACACTGCCCCCAATACACAAGTGGATCTGACTTAAATTACATTTGAGTTTTTCCTCAACTAAATGTGTTGTTTAAAACACTTATGCATACAGTTTGCGGCACTGTAAGTTAACTATGAGTTACTTTGCTTCGGTTACTTATGTTGTGGCAGATTTAAGTCAGTTTGCTCACCGCAAATGTAATGAGTAGACAGTTCTGAAGATGGGCAGTGATATGCTATTAATTTACATGTTCACACAATCGGCGATTTTTTTACCAGCTGTCTTTCCTGCATACGGTAGTTTAAACAGTTGTTCCTTTATCCTGTAATATTAGCCTACTTCATGGCCTCAAACTCCGTGCACCGAGCTCTGAAAGGTCACAGAGTTTATCTCTTATCGAGAACATGCTCCGGAGCAGGTTATAACCTGCCTAAATCATGCTTCGTAGTAGTGCTGCGTACCGGTACGCCGAACCGGTACTGGACTTGTAAAAAGTTTCGGTTCAAGTCCGGTTAAAACCGGAACGTCGGGAACCGGTACTTGGACTCGCAAAAAAACTAGCACTTACGTATATTCTGGTGTCTGTGGTTATTTAAACATTCCCTGATAAACGTTATTCAGCCTCAATAAATGCTAATCCCAGTGTGCTCAGTGTACAACATCACATGTCATTTCACCTTCGATTCACGGTTTGAAAACGTAGCATTTCGCCACATGCTAATGATAACCGGAAGTGACGAATTTTCAGAATAAAAGTATTAAGTTAATAGTGTGAACTTCCGGTTTTTTCAGAATAAAACTGATTTAAATTAAATAGTGTATTTAATTCAAAATTACGCCATATCAACATTGATTTTAATTTCTAACAGTATGTAAGTACATCATTATGTATGTAGTATGTACTGTATAATGTACACATGTAGAGTTGTAGAAAATACATGGTGTACAGACAGTACAGTACACTCTGACTGTGCAGTCACTACAGTGTAGCCTATACTATATAGTAGGTGTGTAACAGTGTAATGCGTATAGTCTACTCTACACTCTACCTTTCAGCAACGTTTTAGGGATTTAGTTTTAACTTTGTAGTAGTTCACTGTAGTTACTGTCATAAGTCATTGTTTTTTTTACATTTGTACTTTGTAGAGAAATGTAGACACAAGTTGGAAGGGAGCACAATAAACCTGACGAGTTTGAATTTGAGTTGATTATGAGTTAATTTTCAATTGATAATTAGCTCACAATAAGTTCACTTTAGTTACTCACACAACTTGACACAAGCCATGGGTTCAGGTCCGGACTTATAAGTCCGGACCTGAACCTGAACCTCTGGACTTGAGTCCGGACCTGAACCTGAATGTGAGTCCAGGTACGCAGCACTACTTTGTAGTGTAGGCCTCTGGTTCGCATGTGTTTTTTTTAGAGAGGATCCACTGTACTGCCTCCCTTTTTCCATCTCCCCGGCTGGGCGTGGCTGACCTACATTTGGATTCCCACCTCTCCTCCTCCTCAGCTGCAGCTCATCACCTGGATTGCCATCTTTACCTGCATTTAAAGCATAGACTGCATAAACCCTTGCTGGAACTTCTATCTGCGACCTGGATTTTGAAAAGAAGATGGTTGATTGGATCTATGGATGTGTTTAAAGCATTATCTAATTTATAGTATGTATCGAAAGGTTTTTTGGTTTGAATGCACAGTTTTGCATCCCTGCATGCAATAGTTTAAAGGGAGCTTATTGATGCAACACGATTGTTTTATTACACAACCTCTAAAGAAAATATGCATAGGTTACTTCAGGGACAAATTATCATGGAATTATCTTTATTTCGTCGAAGCAGGAGTCTCATCATTAAAGACTTTAGGACCTAATTATACTGTATAACTGTAGCCTTGCTGGCCTTTTTGACCATGTATATTATATATATATAAATAGGTATAAAAGTCACGGCTCGCCACTGGTCAATTACATTTCAATTAATCAAAAAGAAATGCAGAAGTAATGGCAACGTGTTTTATGAGCACATAATAACAAGATACAACTGAAAACTGAATATAGGGGATGGTTTAACAAAAGCAGATTATGTGGCCCCTGCCCTGCCCCATCCCAAATCATATGGGTCCCCCAATACGCTGTCACCATGGAAGCAGACACACACACACACACACACACACACACACACACACACACACACACACACATACAAAGAGGCATGTATCATCACATCAGACTCAGTGGCAGAGCTGCACTTGTGATTCCCGCATGCTGCTGTGGAGAGGCAGTGAAATGAGGTGGCTGCACGGAGGCGTCGACTATCCCTGTTTATGATTGGTGACCACAGAATGCCAGGAGAAGGGGAAGGGGAGGTGTGTGTGTGGGGGGCGGACTCTCTGTAGGAAGAGGAGGAGGAGCAGGAGAGGAGGATGCATTGCCCGTTCATTATTGGAAGCAGCAGGGAGTGAAGCAGCATCTGTTTGAGGCGAGAAAAAGAACCTGCATGGAATGGAGGAGCGCTAGAGCTGCACCGTCGCTGTCGTCAAGACTCCCACCGCCTCCACCACTGCTGCCACTGCTGCCACTCTGGACTGGGATTTAATGGGAGACACTCAGAGCGGGTATCTATACATCATTTCAATGCTTACTCTGTGAAATGTATTAATCACCTTAGAGAGGGTCAAGTTAGCAAGGTGATGACAGATTGCATTCTTGGCTTGTAAAGGATGCTATAAAATGTGTAATGGATACTGTTTAGTATGGACGTCATTAGGGTTTTAAGCTTTGCCCAGCTTGTTCACTGAAATCAGGAACTGTGGTTGAACGTATAGCTTCATTAGAGGGGAGGAGGGTTGGCTGCCTGGGGATTTGAACCCTTAACCCAGGTTTGATTGAAGCTATAGCTCAGTTGTGTGCCTGTACACAAAAGCAGCTTTTTCATAACCACTGTTATTGATGTTCTTTCCAGCTCTGTGATGCCCGAGAGACCAGTCGTGTGGATCCAGTGCCACCTCTGATACGATGCTGAGAGCAGGGGGGGCAGCCACCTCTCTGGCACTGCTGCTGCTGCTGCCGCTGCTCTGCTGCTGCCACCTGTGCCACTCGTTGCGTAAGTTTCTCAAGGACTGGGAATGCCTCATCCAATTACAGATGGTATAGTTGCAGCTAAGTTGGTCTCTAAGGGATATTAAGAATCAAAGAAAGAAGATGTGGAAATCGTCAGATGGTCAGTAGTAGAGAACTTGCAGAGACAAATCAAAAGTACTGATTTCAGTTTACAACAGTAGAACAGTTTTACATTTGTAGGGGGGTTAACAATTTTAATTTGTTATCTGGTTTCCTAGTCCTGGCTGTCTTTGTAGGGATTTACCATTTACAGGATCATCTTTACTAAGTAACACATAATCAATGATGCAAAACCTGGAAAATAGTTGATTAATGCTGTGGCATTCATGCCATGTTGGATAGAACTGTCATGTTTACAACTCTGGCACAAGGACAAGGTTATAGTTCCCATTTGGTCAAAGGACAACTCAGGATAGGAAGAGAGTTGAACAATAGAGTTCTCTGACATAATAACAACTTATGAAATAACTTTGGTTTTATTTCATTGTTACAAGTCTATTCAAAGAATCCATGTTGCCTTTTGTACTCAGTCCGTAAGACCTCTTTGATTAATTGGTCATTTTTTAGTTTTCATGCTGAATGACTAATTTCCAAGAAACTTCAGAGCACATCTCTTGGACCCGAGATTAAAAGTGATGCTTTTGCATGTCACTTTTTGGAGAAACTCGGTTTTACAGATCTGACTATCAACTAAATGATTAGACGAAAAAAGGTATGAGTGTTAATTTCCCAATACTTTTTTAGTCCAGGAAAGCCGTATAATATGCTCAATACAATGGGGCTGGCAGTAAATGGTCAAAACGGGGACAACAACAGGAGCAAACAACATAGTAAAGTTGTTCACCTTAAGTTACAAGTAAACGACGGCTATCCTTCCTTCTAAGGTGAATACAGTTCAGTTTGGAGGTCACGTGACCGGGTCAGGTGATAAACTTGGTTGTAAACTTGGAAGATGCTGCTTGTGGGCAGCTGAGGAACATGGGTGAGGAATAAGGGGGGAGGTTATTACTGTCTGCACAACACAGAGATTAACGGCATGTTGCAGGAGAGGAGGAAAGAGGGGGACCGCTGTTGCCATGACATCGTGTGCATATTTGTCTGCGTGTGTATCAACTGTACAGTATAGGTATGCATATACACAGTATGTTGTGCATGTTGGTATGTGTATACACCTTATGATTCTGTGGGTCTCTCTTTCTGTTATTGATGCTTTGCATATTTGGCTGAATTTCACAACACTGTAATCCTTACCATCTGTACAAGAGCACACATAACATACATTATGTATTACATGTTTAATTTATATCGATGTTTTTGTTATAAAACCAACTGCACCTTACATACAGTATTGACCCAGGAATAACATTTTCATATTAAATATCAATGTTGCTCAGCATGAGGTGCAAATGAGCATTCCCTTTTAGCTTATAGCACACACCTTATATCTATGCATTTCATCAATCACACACTTAAACAGAATATGTAGAATCCAGCAGCTTGCTTTTCAGTCGAGCAAAATGCTGGTGATAGTGGGAGTAAATGCTGTAGAAATGATTAATTTGCTTATCACACACAGTCATTGATTGAGGGTGTTGCAGCCTTGTTTTTATTGATCCACACACATGTCTGAGAGGGTGACACCATACATTTGTGGTCAGTCTTGGTCTAGATTTCCAGCCACATTCTCCATCCATAAATTGAGTTTATAACCGCATTGGTGAAAGATTTAAAGAGCAGGGTCAAAGATAGAGTGTAATTAAAAAATGTGTCTACATTGTAGGGGAGCTCTTCTTCAGGATAACAATGAACCAGTTTAACTGATTCTGTCTGCACTGCTATATACAATAGATTCATCTTGTAACTGCACATAACGCAATATCTACATGTTTTGTCATCCAGTCTGAGGGTCATTTTTTGAATGTATTGATACAAAATATATAGTTGATACTTTGAGCAGGTTTCCTGAGTAGAAGTACTGTTGACCAACAGGCCATGTACTGGTTGCATAGAAGTCAGATTGTATAGAAGTCTATGAGAAAATTATCCTACTTCTCACTTCAACAATTCAACAAGTGTTCCCCAAAACACGGTTTTACAACTTGTTTATCACAACATTATTGTCCCATTTAGATTAAAATAGATGATACGGCAGCGTACTAAGGGCTTGTCTACCTTGTGATTATTATGAGTATTTTCCGGTCTTGGTGTTTTGAATTTTTCATCGTACAACTTTTACCATTTCACAGTGTGTTTTCAGTTCATTTGGTCAGTTAAAAATGTTTTGTTTTGTGTTTTGGTTGTACCTCCACCCTCTTTTCCTTAAGATTACCGCATGGTCATTAAGATGACTATGTCTACTTCTCATATACAGTCTATAATGTGGGCTCCAGTTGACAAGCAACCCTGACTGCTTTATTGAATATATCCTTTGCTGTTGATACTACTTTCTTGAAGGCATTTTAGGACACCTGTTTTCTCTGTTTCTGATAGAAAGCAGACAGGGGTCACATCTAATCATCTGAGCATTGATTTTTAGGCTTTCATACATTGTGAGGATTGTATGTATTGCTCAAACCTTTAGTTTTTCTGCGACTTGAAACCAAAGCCATACCACGAAGGTCATATCCATAATCTATAGATAACACTGTAGCAAAGTTAGAGAAATGATTGCAGTGCTATTTGAGAGAATAAAGGAAACATAGCTGTATATGGATTAATTATCAAACATTGGACGACTGAATAAATCAAAGATGCTTTTGCATTCGTTGAAATACATTTACGTTGGTATGAACTGTATTATAAAATGTTATTTTTACATAACATTACATTTTTTCCACACCATTTAGGGGTTCCAAAACTCTCCGCTTTCGCAAAAGCAGAGGATAAGCTTTTCAAATACCTCTTTGTAAACTACCAGAAATGGGTCCGTCCAGTGGAATACCTGAACCAGACGATCAGCGTGAAGTTTGGCCTGGCCATCTCCCAGCTAGTTGATGTGGTAAGAAAGAAAAGCACTGATTATTGATATAATTCAGTCTCGAGTCTCTGATGTGTTAACTACAGCCTATGAATGTAAAACATATTAGGCTTGAAAGACAGAGTGGTCTTACATTTCTTTCAACTCGGCTACTTTTTAATTGAAACTCTTTACACTGTTTTAGGATGAGAAAAATCAACGAATGACAACCAATGTGTGGATGAAACAGGCAAGTGTACTTCACATCGAACTTAAACATTACAATGAACTATCATTTGTAATCATGCAGGTTTAAGGTATTGCTGATAGTGTTTATTTAATGGTTGAGGAAATACTCTTTAACAACCTCTGACATAACATGGCATTTAGAGGCAACACGTCACCCTTTTGTATCTGGTCTGGTGGCATTTCACTGACAGTTCTCATATGAGTCCTTTGGGCCCTGTGCCCACGCACCTGGCTCCACTCCAGCCGCCTCTTCCCAACTCCTGTCAGCCTTATTCATGGCTTTGAGTGTCCTGTCTGTTGAGCTTCCTTTGAGTTATCACCACAGACTAGACTCTGTCATTGGGGTCAGTTGCTCCCTTTCAAAGTGATGGATTACCTCTTGCCAAAAGGCTGATGGAAGGGCAATGCCCCCTGTGGTGATGTCTATCTATCATGTAATTTGCAAAGTATTTCAGTGTCAGATTTAGTGATTTTATTTATCGCAATCTTTTGGTGGCCACTTTTTTGATTTAGAAAAAGGAATACCGAACTACAGTTTTTTTCATACACTGGTTTACCCTCCAGCGTTTCACAAGGAATTTATCGTGTAGCATATTTTCCACATTAAACAGATTTGGTACATTGTGCTATATTAATGCTAGCAAAATATAACATTACACATAATATACCATATCTAAGGAAAAGTGTTGTATTGGTCTTTATGCCAAGAGTTAGATGAGAGAATTGATACAGTTAATATGAAGCTAAAGCCAGCAGCCGGTTAGCCTAGCTTAGCATAAAGACTAATGATGTAAAAGCTAGCCTTGCTCTATCCAAAGGTTACAAATCCACTTACCAGGACTTCTAAACTAATTAGGACATTGTTCAGTATAAACCGGTTGCCCACACTTCCATAAAAAAGCAGTTTGTAATTTTTACACTGGTGCCCCCTTCTTTTCAGGCTTAGTGCTAAAGTAACTTGGTTTTTAGCGTATTTTGGTCTGTGATTTGAATGTTCTAATCTGACATTATGGGAAATATGCTTATTTGCTGTTGTGCCAAGGGTTAAACCTTCACTTAAAAGCCTCTATGTGTAGATGTTTTTGTTAAATGTGTTCAATGTTTCCTTTATGTAGGAGTGGACTGACAGGAAACTAAGATGGAATCCTGATGACTATCAGGGCCTTACAGCCATCCGAGTCCCTTCTAACAGGATCTGGCTTCCCGACGTCGTACTGTACGATAAGTATGGGCCATTATATAAGGAATAAATTACATCTGTGTCAGTCATTTAATTTTCTGTTAGCCATGGCCACACGGAAATGCTGACAGTGCTGTTACATAACAGTCTTAAATGATATTTATTTCAACAGTTCAGATGGGCATTTCGAGGGAACTCTCACTAAGGCAGTTGTTAAGTATGATGGGACCATAACATGGACACCACCAGCCAATTACAAATCAGCCTGCACCATTGATGTCACCTTCTTCCCTTTTGACCTCCAGAACTGCTCAATGAAGTTTGGCTCTTGGACATATGATGGCTCCCAGGTGAGACTCTACTCCGCAGTAAATTAGTGTTAGTCATGACGATCAATTGACATGAAATTTCACTCTGTATTTAACAGGTGGACATAACTCTTGAGGACTTCCACGTGGACAAGCGGGACTATTTTGACAACGGTGAATGGGAGATAGTGAAGGCCACAGGCAGCCGTGGTCTGAGGACAGACAGCAGCTGTACCTATCCCACCATCACCTACTACTTCATCATCCGCCGGTTGCCTCTTTTCTACACACTCTTCCTCATCATACCCTGCATTGGCCTGTCCTTCCTCACCATCCTCGTCTTCTATCTGCCCTCTAA